CAAATACTTGACTGCCCTGATATCTTGCCTGTTGTATATTTTTTCCTCTCCACAGCGTTATCTGCAGCAAATCTGTCATAAGTTAAAAGCATTGTAATTAGAAAGTTTATTTAATAATCCAAGCTTCCATATTCCCTAGCTTAGCATTAATATTTTCCATCCCCCCCCCATGTGTGTGTGGTGCCTGTAGCTGTTTGTGTAGGTGTATGTGGGTGTGTGACTGTGTATACAGTCGCACATACAGAGGTCTCAGGTCAGTGTTGACTCTCTGTCTTCTTTTCTGAGTCAGGATCTCTCATTGAATCTAGAGCTTATCTTCTAGCTGGATAAGTTTGAGGGATCCTCCTGTCTCCTAATTCTTGGATTACACATGTGCCCAGCTTTTAACAAGGGCCTTGCAGGAGTGGAACTCATGTCCTCACGTTACACAGCGAAGACTTTACCCGTAGGGCCATCTCCCCAACACTGAGTGTAGGTTGTTCGCCTTCAGAATCACACAACCACCATGGCTTGCTGCTACTGCCAAGTATCAGAAGCGCTTAAACAAATCTTACCAGTCTAGGAAAAGATCAGAATTAGAAATAGAGATCTACTGAATATCTACCACTTTGTACCACCATAGGATTGAGAAAATCAGGTGTAGTTTGAGCCACATAACATGTAGTCTTTCAGACTCGCTTTTTTCACTTAGTAGTATACATGTATTAATGTAAATCTCCTGTTTCAGGGGGGAGGGGTTGAGACAGGGTTTCTCTGTGTAGCCCTTGCTGTTCTGGAACATGTTCTGCAGACCAGGCTGACCTAGAACTCAGAGATTCTCCTGCCTCTGCCTCCCTAGTGCTGGGGTTAAAGGCATACACCACTATGATGAACAAATCTTCTGGTTTTAAACCACTGATAACTCACTGAAATTTGCCCTGTTGTGTAACAGTTTCCTCCAAGCTTGAAACATTTCATCCTGCAGGGAAGGCAAACTACTCAAAATAGCTTCAGGAAGTCCCTGAAACTGACCAGATTAACTAGGCCCCTCCTTCCCAGAGTAAGCAAGCCAAGCTAAACTGAAAAAGAGTCTGAAACCAGAACAGCTGCCTGGAATTAGCAGATAGCAGCAGCCAAGCTGAATACTCACTTGGAAAGGACACTCTCCAACCTACTGAGCTGCCTGCAAGCTGTGCAGTGTGCTCCAGGTTTCCAGTTTTGTGAGCTGTCACTAAAGCTGGGGCAGGCTTTGTTGATGCAGATGCCTGAGCCACTTCTGCTCCTGGAAGTAACCCCTCACCCATACTCCTCTAAATGACCCCAGTAAAACTCATTGGTTCACCAAGTTGGACTTTGATAGTATCTGTCATGGGTTCTCTATTTGGGGTGAGCAGGTGTGTGTGTGTGTGAGGTGTCTCCCCAGAAAAAATTTTGTCACACAACAGTCCCCAAACCCAACAAGGCAGACCTTCAACCTATGCAGTTCTCTGAATTACATGGGCGAAGGGACACTAGCCCACTCAAGCATGTGGCTTTGGCAGGCCTTGCCCTTCTCCCCCATTCCCTCTCCCTTGCTAAAAACTATTGGATTACAGCTGGAGAGATGGCTCAGAGGTTAAGAGCACTGGCTCCTCTTCCAGAGGTCCTGAGTTCAATTCCCAGCGACCATATGGTGGCTCACAACCATCTGTAATGAGATCTGGTGCCCTCTTCTGGCCTGCAGGCATACATGCAAGCAGAACACTAAAAAAACAAAAAAACAAAAACAGATTACATTCCTAAAGCTAGCCACCAAGGTATTTCCCTTATTTGGCCACTACCTTCTTCTGAGGCTGACTGCCAAAGTCCAGCAATCAAAAACCCCTTTGGTTCACCTAACTAACATCCTCAATTAAAATAAAAAAATCTCGTTGTAACACAGGTTTCCCTCTTTACCTTTATAAACCTCCATTTGCCTATGTGCCCGCCATGTCTGCCTCCCCTCTGTCCAGAGGCAGTCCTTTGTTCCTCTGGGACAAATACCCTCTCCCCCTTTCTTTTGTCCCCCTTCTCCCCTATCTCCTTTACCACCGCATCCTAGCCCATTCTAACCTCCCCTTCTCCTCTTCTTAAACATTACACCTGCAATGTCATTTTGGCTGCTTTCTGCCTGAGTCAGAAAGCAGTCACTTTAACTTTTCTTTCCCACTTAACAAAGAATCTCTCTGTGAAAACAGGTGTTTGGGTGTGGTTTGTCTTTCATCCAGGGTCCAGGAGGAAGCCCCACTGTTTGGGGGTCCCCTTCAATGAGGAAGATACCTCTGTCTTATAAGAATAGAGGTGTTGGGAGCAAGAAGGGGAAGTGAGGGAGTGAGTCCAAGAGGTAATGTTACTGAATGGCAGGTGACTCCCAAAGGGATGTGTTTGGGGGCCCCTTCTGGACTGGCCTCATATGACAGGCTCCTCCACTTCAGCATACCTGCCTTTCTGCTCTGACCAACTGTGGAAATGGCATTCCTCAGGATCCTGTTCTATTCTGCTCTCTCCAGACCCTTCCCATGCTTGCTTCAAAGAGTAAAGTCAGTGACTAGCCTGTGTCCGAGCTGTGCCAGTGTTTACAACAGGCAGTAGGCACAGCCTAGGCAGATTTGGCTGTTAGCAGAAGAACCCAGTGATAGATGGATAGTATTTCTTGGGGTGGAGCTTATGGTTTATTTTTATACCGCTGATATAAGATCCCATGTTTGCATTTAAAGCCTGCGGAGGCAGCTTGAGAATTGGGTCAATATCAGACTGATCTGGGCTCAAACAGTACCACTGTTTCTGCTGACTAGTGATCCTGGCTAAGTTTACTTCTCTTGGCTTCCACTTCTAATCTATAAAAAATGCATATAACAATTACTTCTCTTGGTTCTTATGAGGAGCAGGTATTGGGAGTGCCTTGCACACAGGAACTGCTCACTAGTTACGAATTTTCTTACCAGAAGGAGGCTCAGCTCCAGTATGATGTTATCTTTGAGACTAGTCATTAAACTAGTAATCTCTCAGGCCAATTCTCAGTCCTTATTTATTTAAAAACTTGTTATGAACTATTTTTGGCTTGTTTGAATTCTTTGAGGCAGGGCTTGCCCTACAGCCTAGAATAGCTATGAACTAGACTAGCCTGGAGCTCAGTGTATAGCCTAGGCTGGCCTCAAACTTACAATCTTCTTACCTGAGCTTCCCTAAGGTTCAGACTGTAGCTGTACACCACCATGATCAGCTTTAAAGATCTGCTTTAAACAACTGTAAATCTTTGCATATACACATACATCATAACCCTGCACCTTAAAGACTTTTCAAAAAGGGGAACACACCATGTATGCCATCTGCTTTGAAAAGTTTTCCTGAAAGATCTATGCCCATGTATTTCTGTATATAGCTGCTCTTGCCCAACACTGACAGAACTGAGCAGCTCAAGTGGAGACATATGGTGTGCGAGGCTGCAAATGCTATGTGGTCTTCACAAAGAAAACCTTGAATCCTGAGTAGTAAGCCACTGTGTGAATATACTTGCCTTTCTTGATCCATTCTGCTCTTGGGCCCTGGGTCTCCCCTTTGGGCTGCTAGGAATAGTCAGCAGGAATAACTCATGAATGTCCTTGACAAAGCTTCCGTATGCAATTCTGTGTCTGGTCCTAGGAATAGAATTGCTTGAAGACAGGGAAGACCTAGGCTAACCCTACCGTAACTGCCCATCTCCATGCTGGCTCTACTGTCCCGCTCCAAGTAGGGGTCAGGGACACTTCCAGTTGCTCCTGTTCTTTAATACTTGCCATTTCCAGTGTTTATTATTCTAGTCGTTTCCTCAGCCTTCATGTTTCTGCTTCCTCTTCGTATCTGGTTGTGACTGGATACTCCAGAGACAGCGTTCAAGCTTCTAGAGGCAACCGTTTCATCCTGGATCTTGCTAATCTCTTAGAAAGCTCTTTTTTTAAAAAAAAAATACAGTAACCCTTCAGATATTTAAAACTTAGTGCTTATTTTGAGACTTGATACCTCCATCCCTGGGGAAGGAACCCTAAGTAGTCCCAGCTTCTTCAACATTGCTCAGTTACATGGACTCACACATCTTTGTCATCCTGGCAGGCACACGAACATAGGCAGCATTTCTGGACTTCAGGTCCCCCTGTGTGAAGTGAGGAGTTTCAGTGCCAAGAACCTTAGGGTTAAATCCCATCATTCTGCGTAAATGTTAGCATAGGGAACTCTTGAAGACATTCCTCATGTATCTCTAAACAGGGGACGGCTGCATCCCTCAAGTATTCCTGTCACTCTCTTTGTCCACCGACAGTGGAGAACAGACACGCTCCTTCATCAGCAGTTCCTGTGTGACCAGGATGTTCCTGGAGCAGCCCTTAGCTCAAGACGATCAGCCTGCTGGAGGTCTCTCTTATGAGAAACACTGTGCTGGCAGGAAGCAGGAGAGGAAGTGGACTGTGTGCCTGGGGGATGCTGTGGCATCCATGGGAAGCTGTAACTGTGCCAAATGCATCTTAAAAGGGCAAGAGTTATGGGAAATGTCGAGGCCAATGAACATCACAGGAGGCCGCAGGCTGAGTGGCCAGCTAGGGAGGAGTGGGCTTAGCTTTTGTCCTGTCATCGGGGCTCTGGCCTGCCGCGTTGCTCCCTTGGATGACAGGCAAGTGCCAGCTTTACCCTGAACATTTTCAGGATACACCGCATTTATAAAAAAGTAATTCCCAGGATAGACTTCACCTTTGGCTTTCCTCTGGCACAAGTGTGAGCAGTGTGTATGACCAGGAGACAGGTCACCAAGTCCAGGTGACAGGTGCTCCTCTGATGTCTGAGCTGGACAGAGACAGGTCTTGCTTAACTGACCCAGACTGTGCCAAAATGCAAAAGTGGGGTGGATACAGAAAAAGGAACGACTAGGCCTGTAAGCTAGTCAATTCCACAGGGGAATAAAACTTTGAATATCTTCAAAGAAAGCACAGCTCTTAAGTGTTGATTAATGTCAGCCCTACACTTGCTCCATACAGTGGATACTATCATCCTTATTCTACTGCTGGGAAGTTTGAGACTGGCGAGGTTGGAGCTGTGCTTCCTACTCAGGCCTCCAAACTGCAGAGTCCCCGCCTGGATGCATGATGCCACTGTAGGTGTGACACCAGAAAGCTTCATGTGTCAAGGAGACTGTCGACTACAGGTCAGAATTGGGCAGGGGCCAGTTGTCTGTCTGTGCTAGAATAGTGAGCCGGGTGAAATGCAGTGGGAACAAATCTAGCCATCCCCTGATTTTAGAGACCAGGGATGGGGTGGTCCCAAGGCCATGGGACTTACCGGCAGTGCTACCAATAGGGATATGGATAATCATTCCATGAGGGAGGGGAGATTCCCTTACAGCAGTTTGCTGTCATCAGGAGGGGCAAAGGATGCTAAGTAGGAGAGAAGAATAGGCATTCACTCTGGAGGGCATCCAAGTCTCCCAAACTGCCGATATGGGGAGTGGGAATCAAATGTGGACTCACGTCTAGCTTACCACAGAGCCTGTGATTCCTTGGACTCTTCTTTCTGCTGAACCAGTGCAAGGTTCGCTCGTGTCTTTCCCGACAAATATGACACCAGCAGCTGAGCGGAAGACAAATGATGGTAAACACAGTACAAGGCACCGATGATCCCACGTTTTCACTGCCCTATAGGTCTATCACTTTGTAGCTTCTCCCTGTCAAAAGCAGAACACACCCATTTCCCAGCCCCTTGATTCTGAGGTGGCCAATTATTGCTGCTTTGGCCAATGTATTAGGTGAGACTTGGGGAGCACTGGGGACTTCCTTTTGCTCCCTTTTGTGCCTGCCATCCTGAAAAGAAAGGCAAACCAAGTCTAACTCTCCCTCCCCCCATAGCAGGAAGATGAAAGCTACATGGAGCAGAGTTGCCACAGCAAACAGCCCAGCTGAGCTCAGCCTGTAACAGAGTCTCCATTCAACCTGCACTGGAGGCAAGCTTGGCTGAACCCAACCCAGATCAGCTGACCCACAGCCAACCCCCATGGAGCTATTATAATTGAACGGTTGTTGAAAGACAGTGTTGGCAGTTTATATGCAGCAGAGCTAACTTTATGCCTCTTTTGCTGAGTACTTTTAGAATCTGTCCAGTTCAATAAATTAACATTCGTATCTTGGCTGGTTTTTTTAGGTTGTCTCATTACATATTGATTTGTGTGTGTGTGTGTGTGTGTGTGTGTGTGTGTGTGTGTGTGTGTGTGTCTGTCTCATGTACACTCTGTGGGGAGGGCCAGGGATTACTTACAGGAGTCAGCTGTCTCCTTTAACCATGTGGGTCCCAGGGATTGAACTCAGATCATCAGCCTTGGCAGCAAGCACCCTCACCTGCTAAGTTTGAAACAGGAAGTTATTTTTTTATTTTTAATTTTCACATGTCCTACATTTGGATGAAAGCCATGTCCCAAATTTTCATGCTTGAAGGATTTTATGAGGTCAGTGCATCTCCTGTGTTTGGCTTGGGCATGCCTGTGTTACAGACCATCACCTGTCATATAGGATTAGTTTGGTGGAACTACTTACTAAGGTAAAGTTTTGGTTTTTTTTTTTTTTTGGTTTTTTTTTTTTTAATAATTCAGTTGTAAGAAGAACAGTTAAGGTTTGTTTTAGACTTTGGAATATAATAATTAATTATAATATATTGACACAATATCCAAATTAAAACTAAAGTCATAAAATTTACTCTGTACTCTCAACTTAAGAGGTCCAGAACAAGAAACTGAAAAAAAAATGTGATTAATTACAAGAGAAGAGAAGTGCATTGTACTTTGTGTAATTTAAAATATCTCAATACACACCCTAATGTATACATGTAGGTTGCTTTTAGCACAGCACTAAAATGTCAACATGCAAAAGCTCTGTTCAGGAATGCAAACTTCAGGAATGATGCTATAAGCTATGAAACTTTTTATTAAGTCATGGCCTTATATTTTCACTAGTAGAAGGCACTTGAGAACCTTGGAATGGGCATGCATTTTATGCAGACCTACTTGCCCTGTGTGGTGGACGTAGGAAGTCAGTGAGCATGAATCCTTACCCCTTTCATCATGGTGCCCTGGGCTCACTGCAGGGCTTTGCTGCTACCCCGGACAGAAAAAGCTAAGCCCTACTGTGGGATCCCTGGGAATCTGCTTCATAGGAACTTTTCTTGAGCTGCTGTCTAGTCTAAGTGACTTAGACATCAACTTGTGGAAAATACCTAAATGAACAACTTAGGAGATTTATTTGGGCTTGTGGTTTCAACCTATTATGGTATGAGACATGGTAAAGCAGAGCAGTCAATATTTGTCGGCCAGGAAACAGACACACACAGAATGCCCATCCTCACTGGATTTCTCCTCTTCCTTTGATTCCAGGCTCCCCGCCTATGGCATGGTAGCATTCCCATTCAGGGCAGCTATGCCTTCCCTAGTTAGTTCTCTTTGAGAATGCTTCACAGGTAACACCCCCAGCATGTTTAACTACTTTCCTAGATGCTTCTTTTGAATATTTTTTTGAAAAGTTTATGTTATGTTATAGGTATGGATATTTTGTCTGTATATGTTTATACACAACCTGTGTGCAGTGATCATGGAGGCCAGAAGAGGGCGCCAGATCCCTTGGAACTGGAGTTACAGACAGTTGTGAGCTACCATGTTTTTAGGCTTAGAGTTGGGTCCTCTGGAAGAACAGCCAGTGCTTTTAGCTGCCAAGCCACCTCTCCAGCAGTTCCCTAGGTGTTTACAGAGTCAATCAAACTGACAATCAAGACTGACCTTCACAGGAGTTAAAAGCAGGATCTTGCAGACTTTCAGGAAAAGCTTGCATGCCCATGCCTACACTTGCTGGCGTATACATGTTGTGCATAATTCCATCTGAGGTTTGCTCTCCCTTTCATGGTACGTGGTATGGCTACTTATGACGGTAGAAGGCTACCAGTCCACTGCAAAGGGTAAAAAAAAAAATGGCTTTGGCTTGGCAGTAGAAAAAAAACATGTGATAATTTAAATAACTGAGCTGGTTGTGGTGGTCCACAGAACTTGGGAGGCAGAGACAGGAAAAAGGCTGCAAGTTTGAAGCCAGATGGGCTACACAGTGAGTTCCAGGCCAGAGCAGAATACATCTTGAGACTCTGTCTTAAAATAACAAACAGAACAATAATGATATTGCAGTCTGAAAAACATCTCAATAGAATAGTATCACAAATAGTCACTGAAGTTCCATTCAGGGGCGCTCTCATGGAAATGCCTGGTTCAGTGCATCTGCCCAATTCCAGATCACAGGAATACTCCCCAAAGGCCTTGTTTTTCTTGGCCCTGGTAAGTACTAAATTAGCAAAAATGAAATCTTTTAAAATAATAATTATCATTAGAAATTGGCTATGAGTGACCAACTCCAGTCTAGGGGCCAAATCCTACTTGCTGTTTGTTTTTGTAAATAAAGTTTTATTGGGACACAGCCATAATCCATTCATTCACAAGTTACCTTTGACCACTTCCACAAGGAAAAGTGGAGTACTCTCAGCAGGTATCTTGTAGTCTGCAAAATGAAAAATATTTACACTATCTGGCTTTTCATAGAAAAAAATAGAGGCTCACTTTTGAGATCATTAGATAGGTTTAGTTTGTAGTTACAAAGTTGGCTCATGTTTCTAAATAAGAAGAACATTAAAAGAAAAGTTTCTGCTGGGCGTTGGTGGCGCACGCCTTTAGTCCCAGCACTTGGGAGGCAGAGGCAGGCGGATCTCTGTGAGTTCGAGGCCAGCCTGGTCTACCAAGTGAGTTCCAGGAAAGGCGCAAAACTGCACAGAGAAACCCTGTCTCAAAAAACCAAAAAAAAAAAAAGAAAAAAAAAAGAAAAGTTTCCTTTGTAGTTTTTGGAAATTTGGGTTATATATTTCAAGGGGTATAGTGTCCAAAAGAGGGTATTTTCATAAAAGAAGAGGAGCAAATGTCTCTGATAACACCGACCCAGAGCAGAGAGGAACATCAGTAGGGCTCATTCTTCCAATTCTTGCAGAGCACCCTGCCTTCTGCTCCTCAAGCACAGAAGCTTTCTTCTGGCCTCAGGACTTCTGTGCCAGCCATTTCCTCTGTGTGGAAATTTCCAACTTGCTGTATTTTTTTCATCACTCAGGCTTCAGCTTTGGTTATCACCTCCATGCAGAGATTTTTCCAGACCACTCATTCCAAAGACTCATTTCCCTTCATCCCCCACAAGCACTCTAGAAACACTATCCTTATTTTATTTTATTTTATTTTATTTTATTTTATTTTATTTTATTTTATTTTATTTTTTTTGCCAGTGTGCCACTTGATCCTGAGATGAAGTTCTCTGTGCTTGGTTAGTGAATGTCATCCCATACCCCACGATAAGGGTGGCCCTTGTCCATCTCATTCTTCATGGTCTGTATCCCCAGTGGCTGGACTGGTCCAGGCACATCATCGGTCTCAAAGGAAAACAGGGTATTAATGGAATGATCGGCTAATGGAATGAATAAAATTAATTAATTAAGTAATTCCATTCATTAAATAAAGAAGTGGATAAGTGCATAATTAGCAGCCACATGGTAATTATTGAGTTTTAGACTTCTGCTTGTCTCAGCACTAGGCCTTGCCTCACAATGGAAAGCTCAAATTAGGGCTTTTCTCTTCATACAGGATGGAGGGACAAATACCAAGCTGGAGGTGATATGTAGTTTTCTTAGCACATCAGAAGGGCCAAGCTTACCTATATCCATTGGCTTCTGTCTAGCTATTTGATTCCTTTAAAATCGGTGGGATGCCCATTCTCTGTCAGTCACTGGAACTTGTGCCCTGAGGACATTTACAGATCTAGGGAGAAAATCATTAGGCAGATGATAACAGTATTTAGGATATTCAGCAATGCATGCCCAGGAAATATTTAGGATATTCAGCAATGCATGCCCAGGAAAGATGCAGGACATTAGCCTTCATCCACCTGCTTAGGTCAGAAAATCTTCTCTGAATAGGTGAACACCATACACAGGCATGGACGATGAGATTAAAAATAACCAGACAGGCCAGGCGGTGGTGGCACATGCCTTTAATCCCAGCACTCAGGAGGCAGAGTCAGGCAGATCTCTGTGAGTTCGAGGCTAGCCTGGTCTACAAAGTGAGTTCCAGGACAAAACTACACAGAGAAATCGTGTCTCGAAAAACAAAAAACAGACAAAGGTGAGCATGTAGTAACAAATGGAAGACTTTTCTCCAGTAGAGAGCATGGTAACCTTTTAATGAACATGCACAGATCTGATTGGAGCTGGGTAGGAGAGTGCCATGAAGAGAGTGAGCCAGGATACTGAGAAGCTTGTAGGTATGAGTTACCAGGAGAGCAGAATTTTATCTGAGGAGCTCAGAGGACTTCTTTGCCTTTACCTGTGAAGGCCTCCAGCCCCTGCTGGGTGACCTCACCTATAGATAACACAGCTACTGCAATAATATTGTGGGTAGTACTAATAAGAATCTTGGAACCTGGGATATGCAGCACTAAAACCCAGACCTAAAACAATGTCCCAAACTATATGGGACCAAAGTAGTTACCATGACAAGAAAGCTGCCAGTCAATCTGTAGACACAGGTATGATCACAGTATTAACTACCATAGCAAGATGTTTACATATTTACTGCTTTAATAACAATGGCTGCCACAGTCCCTTCCCTGTGTCCTGAGGTAGTTTGGGTTTCTGTTGCTGTGAAGAGACACCATGACTACACCAACACTTATAAAGGAAAATATTTAGTTGGGGCTGGCTTACAGTTTCAGAAGTTTAGTCTGTTATCGTCATGGTGAGAAGCATGGCAGCATGCAGGCAGACATGGTGCTGGAGAAGGAGCTGAGAGTTCTAAATCTTATTCTACAGACAACAGGAAGTGAACTGTGAATCACACTAAGTGTAGCCTGAGCATAGGAGATTTCAAAGTCCACCCCCACAATGACACACTTCCTCTAGCAAGTCCAAACCTACTCCAACAAGGCCATACTTCCTAATAGTACTATTCCCTATGAATAAACACATGAGTTTCTGGGGGCCATAACTATTCAAAGCACCACAGGGAGTTAGTCAGCTATTAGTAGGGAAGTCAGAGAGGATGAAACCCCC